AATACTATATAGGGTCTTAAAAAACTGATCAAACACTTAGTTTCTAAAAGTCACATATAAAATGATAATACGTGTACCCCTCTAAAGTTTATTTATTCTTCTATCAGCTTCGTTTGAGCTGAAAACCATATCACAAAAGCCATCGAACTGTTACCATTCGATCAAATCAATCTCTATTTATCTATCTGTCTATATCTCTCTCTATTGAAATAATTACTTTTTCTAATATTTTATTGGATTGTAATTAGCTTTTGAAAAATGTGTTATTTGTTTTGGATTAAATTTAACTAGACCAGCTGTATTATTTATCATTTCTGGTTTAATTTCCCCCCCATTGTTCTTGTATTAAAATTTCAATACTTATTTTAAAGAAAAGTTTTTGTTTTAGAATTTTATGCTTCATTTCTTATCAAATATGTTCGATAAAGCTTAATTATAGATCACAGAGAAAATATTCGAATATTTGGTGACAATTAAACAGCAATTATAATTTACGTTTGTAATAGTATGCTTAAGATAAAAACTGGAATTGCTTTCGAAATTTTGTTTTTCTGTAAATGATTTCAAGTTACCTTTTGAATTATTAGTATATTTGTTCTGACATTTATCTTTCGAACTAAGCTTTTGAAATTCTTCGCTGAATCTTCCCCACCTTAAAAACTGGCTGTCGTAACCAAGATGCTAAATTTATTTCTCCTAGCGAATATTACCTCATTCAATGCTCAGAATTCTTATTTCTCATATATTTTGAGAAGAACGCTGAAGTAATTTTCTTCCGCAAACGCTAATACTTTTCTTGAAATGGTTATAAATTTACACGTGGGATTGCTAGTTGAATATTCGTTGGTTTAATTGTCTCTCTGAATTGACAAACTCTTCATAAAATATTAGTAAATGTATACTGTTAATTTGGAATCTCTTAGAATTCAATTGTTTTAATAATATTTACAAAAATGCATTATGTGCCAGAAGACAGATATCATGATCTTCAGAGTTTTCTTTTCTTCTGAATTATGTTATACTCCGAACATCATCTGATCAAAAGCTACAGAATTCTTAAATATAATCATTTAAACAAATTTGTAGTCTATTTATATATTTATTTTTAATTATGAATTAAATTATCTTAAAGCATACCGGTATTTCCTTGAAACAGCCATGACAAGAAATTTGAAATAACACAAATTTAAAGAACATTTTATATTGAGAAATGCAGAGTGAAACCTTATAGATCTGGTCAGATAAGTTATGTAAAATAATGCCATAAAGTAATATAATTGATTTTATTTTAGCAATTTCAGCCCGAGACATTAAGATTATTTTTTCTGTTCTAAAGAGATGATATTAATTTTTCAAATTTTGGAAAGTAGCATTAATAAATCTAATGTTCGTGTATTTTGCAGAATACTGCTTAAACTGATAGAAACAGATGGTAAACATATTAGCGAAGTATAATTTTGGTTTTTCTTATATTTTGTGTTAAAAATATGTCAAATTTCAAGATTACTAGATGTGTTCCCACAAAAAAATTATAATATTTTACTTTTATTTTTGTCACTATATTTATTAAAGTATATGGAATAAAATGGACTAAAATTTAAATAATAAAGTAAAATGTCTATTAAATATAACTGTTTGAGTAGAAGCACTAGCTATTTTTCGAGAAATTTCTCTCTTTTCAATTACAAAATTGTCTGAAAAATTTTTAGATATGTACGTAAACCTAAATTTTTAATTCATTTAATCCATAATATTTCATACAATATTTGTAGAAAGTTTCATAAAATTACTGCAGTAATATTGTGAGGTAATTTTTTTTGTAACGAAAAAGTTGAAAAAAATTATGTTTGAATGCAAACACAAGCAGAAGGAAAAGAAAATGTGTCGCCAAATATATTAATTAAATAGTAAAACTAATCCTGTCCCTGAGCAATTAATAACAAATAGGAAAGTTCAGAATAATATTTTGAACATCACCAAAAGAATTTATATCAAAAATTCACATTAAAAATTATTTAGAGTAGTCTGTGTACCTTTAGACACGAACTTCTAGCAGAACTTCTGGTTCACGTTTGGTAGAACAGAGACTTCTGGTTCACGTTGCGGAACATGAACAGCCATAATTCTGCTTCTTAAGATCAGAGGGCAAAATAAATTTAAGCCTAACGTATAAGCTTTAAAATTAAGTAATAAAATTCTTTTTTGAAAAATTTCATCAAAATTGATGATTAGAACGTAGTCGGATACCTTACGTTTAAAATTTTGTGTTTGACAAAATTAAGACTTTGTGGAATTTTTCGAAGAAAAGCGCTTTTGTGGTTTCAATTTTAAGCATTTAAAATTTTTTTTACTTTCTTTTTCGGAAGATAAAAACATCCTGTCACTTTTAAGAGACATTATAAAAGCATGAAACAAAGAAGAAAAATTCTTCACCTTTCTCTTGAGAATTCCGCGATATCCGCAGATATAAGTTTCGTTCCGTTATGCACACTGAATTCAGTGAGTTTGTTGATCTCTGAAATAATATGAGGACAACAAAGGAGGTGGTGCAGGATCTGGCTGCGATCACGAAAGCTGGAGGCAGTGTCTAAACATAGCTCCGAAATTTTTAAATAAGTGTTTCAGTAATGTTTCACTCTCTACAAAAGTTTAATGCACTTTTCCTATGCAATTCTCATTCATCAAATTGAAAAGGGATACTCGCTTCTTTCGAAACTTTCAAACATCCTGTTCGCTGTTTACTATTAACATGAGAACTCTAAAAGACCCTAAAAGGAATTCAGATAGTACATTCTTTCTATACAATATCTTATCTTTACACTAAAGTGCCATTAAATTTCTTTATTATTATTTTCATAAGATTCTAACATTATACAATAGTTAGTAATAGTAGCAAGTCATGTGGTTCTTTTCTTCGTAACTATTCCGTAGAGACGCCACATTCCTTATCAGTTGTCCGTTCTTATCAGCAATTCACAACCTTCGGAGGCCCCCCTCTTCGTGCTAGGAATTCTTGGAGGGAAAAAATGGGGATCTCTTGACCATCGATTAGATAATCGGATTTTTGTAACTAAGATCCCGACATTTTTTTTCAGGTATCAAACTTAGAATTATGAGCAAATATAAATACAGAGTGCCGAATTGTTAAACTTGTACTATACTAAATTACAACGGTTAAATTAATAAATTAATTTTATATTTAATATAATAAGAAAAATAAACTGTATAATTTATTTTGTTGATATGCTCTCACCTGTGTATTTTATGATTTTGTCACTACTGTTTTTCTGAAATATACATGAATTTTTTGGGGAACGGTAATAGTTAATGTACTTTAGTTAAAATATTATGTACATCTCTGTGATGATATGTCTTTTCTAGTTAGGTCTCAAGATAAGGCATACACATTACCATGTAGAAATTCCTTTGTTTTTAACTTAGCTAAAGTTTCTTCTTAAAGACACTAATTTTTGCAAATGAACTCCTTTTTAACACACTCATGGACACAATCGTATTTTAGGATTTTTCTACTTCTTTTCCTTTTCTTTCTATAGGCCTTTTTTTTTTCCCCCTCTATTATTTTTTGAGCCATTTATTAGTCCAAAGGGATTTGAATCCCGAAGGACTATTAGTTTCGTTTTGGCATTTTGCGTCGGACTCATAAATGTCGGTTCACTTTTCAAACTGTTGCCACAAAAGTCCTGCATTATATTTGAAGAAATTAAATAATGAAAAATCTGCATAAATGTATGTATATTTCTCGTATTGTGATAAAACAACGGTACATAGAGTCATCGAATTTTGAATACGTAATCCTCCAACGAATATGAGCATGTGGAAGACCAAATTTGAAATTTGAAATTTGTTTATGATCGATGTCCTATTTTTTAAAACTTTGACGAATTTTTGATTAACAAACTCAAGGATTTCAAAGCGAGCAATGGCAACGTGTGCAGAAAAAACATTTTTTATCTCTAGCCGCGTGAGTCTCTGTATCGGAAATTCTAAAGATATGCTCGTTTTAAAAACTATTTTGCGATATTGCTGTTGCACTGGATCTTTGTTTAAGTGCGAGGAACTTATATTTAAAAAGAAAGGTAACACACAAAATGTTAAAAACGCCCTTTGGACGTAATTTAAAATCTGAAACATTTCAGATTTTTTTTTTTTTTTTTTTTTATTTTAAATTTTATTTTGTCCCATCTTTTCTTTCGGCCTTTTGACTCGTACAAAATGTACGAAGTTCCTTTTTACTCTCCTCAAATACGAAATTGCCCCCTTCCTATATACCTTTCCTTCGCACCTATGCTTGATTTTTCGCCCATCGGTGCAGAAAGATTAGCGGGTGCAAAACAAGACATCTGTCTACTTTGTCTGTCTGTCTGACTGAATTCAGTGGTTCGGCTCATACTAATTTTTTCAATACTGAAAATTTAAGCATTCGTAATTATAAATTCATAATTAACAAAACTACTTATAAAAACTGAAGATGCAATGCACATATTTTATAATTGAGTGTTATCCAAATTCACTTTACACGAAGAAAGAGATTTGCCTGCAGGTTGGCGGTGACTCGCGTTTGATATTTAAATAATGGTAATAATAATTATATCAACAACGTAAAGATTTTTGAAAAAAAGACTTTATCAAAGATCTTTGAAGAAAATGCGAGATTATAACTTTGATGCCGATACTTGTTAACTACACTAAAAGAAAAAGAAATGGAATATTGATGAAATTTACGACTGTAAAGCTGTCAAGCTTGTTCAAGATTGGCAGAACATAGTAGGTGGTAAACTTTAAAGCAGAAACAGCGAATGTTTCGAAACACGTTATTATTAATATTATGTTACAAGTTGTTTTTGAAGCATTAAATCATACGTAGTGTTGAAATTTAAATTTTCTGCAAAAATAGAAGAATCATTCAACATCTGGACTTAGTTTGTAGCTGGTTGCTTAGCAACCGCGACACTAATTAACTGTAAACCGGAAATTAAACATCTGATCTAAAGGAGGGGAATTTGACCGGCGTATTAATTTTTAATGATCAAAAAGAAGAAAATATTGTGGTCTTCAGTGAAACTAGGAGTTAAAAGTAATTATTATTGTAGCAACAAATTACAGACGAATCTCTATTACCAAGTCATTTAATACTGCATGATATGGTACAGTATATTGTACATTCTCGTCACGAACGATAGCTAATGTAAAATGTAGGACAGCGTAGGTGCATATCGATTTTCTAACAGAAAGTAACTATGGAAGAGTAGAAAAAAATGTCTGGACTGTTTGCGTCTAATTCATTCTTCTCTCATGCAAGAAACTAACATCGAATACTTAAGAACAAAGGTAATCAATATTTGCTGACGAATTTTTACGTCTCCTGAGATTTGAAATGAATGCAAGTTTGTTGACGTATGATGTTGGCAGAGTTCTCTTGATAGTGTTAATTACAAATCTGAGTAATGCTTGTGTAATAACATTAACTTTATGGGTAGCTTATACAGGCGTAATAAACGCAATTTTTTATTCATTAATAAGGTCCATTTTTTCTTTTATTTACTTAATTACTTTCTTATTGTCCAGCGAAAATGTTTAACATTATTTTGGGTTGAATGTTTCTGAACAAATGAATGAAATTTTCTTGGAGAGGTTTTTAACATTAGATTTTTACATTAATTAATTTGATCTTCATTTTCCATGTAAAATAGCCATTTCAAAATATATATATATATTTTTAAGCAACACTTGATTTGTATTTATCCATTTTAGGTATTCTGCTGTAGTAAGTATCGAAGATGTGATTTCTATCTCACCTTGTTTATTCTCTTTAAATGTTTTCACAGTAAAGGAACTATACTGTCTTAACATTTTACTTTAAATAATTAATTGTTTTTGTTAAAAATTACATTCTGTCTTTTAACAAAATGAATATCTTATTCTGAAATCTAGTTATTGAAATTTGTGTAAAGAATTGATATTAATTAATATACAGCTATATTTCTATTTGAATCACTCCCCATTCAAATTCAATACTTAATTCATTAATAGTAATTGAATCTGTTTATTTTTGCAAATATTTTCATCAGAAGTAAATGAAAATTATATTTTTATAAATGTGCATTTCATGTTGTTTATGACACATTTTATTTCTTTACTTTGTTCCCTTTCTTATTTTGTTGTGTTTTAAAATATATGTAAAAATATAATTGGCATATTTCTTAATCTAATTAGTTTTTGTGAAGTCTTATTATTTAAAATCTTAATATTGTTTAAAAATAACTGATTGATTATTCCATAATCAATGTTTCTCCCCTTTTTTATACTCTCTATTAAAAGTGATTTTCTCCATTTATATTTTTCAGCTGATGTCTCAGTTTAGAACTAATTTTTTTCGAAAATCAATTCTAAACTGAGACATGCAGCTTACACTGTTTTGAAAGATTAAATAGCCAACCAAATTTTAAAAAGTCATTATAGTTATATGTTATTTGAATTTTTGCTGAACTTCTTTGAAAAGTTGAAATACAAAGTTTTTCAATTTGAGGAGTCCACTCTCTCCAATCTAAGCTAGCAGTTACGCTTCCTGCACTTTATTTGTGCAATCATGGATTGCTGAGAAATTTAAAATGTTATAGAGCACACGCTTTTTCTGTGCTTCATGCTTTTATTAAATGGATTTTAATATTTGGTCTTGAAGACTGACATTGTACTTCATAAAATTATGTATTTTCACATTTTTGGGCAATGTCTTGGAATTATTGCATTGTCAACAGTTTGATGGAGGATACTGAGGACTAAAATATTTTTGTTCTTGCTCTAATTCATAATCAAAGTGCATTGTGCATGTAGGTAGAAGTGGAATAAAATAAATATGTTTTTTTTTTCTTCAAAACAATAGGAATTTATTGCATTTTTGCATTGAATTTCATTGGGCCAACTAATCTAGAATTTTATTAACTTCATTATTTTCCATATATATATATATATATGTGTGTGTGTGTGTAATGCTGTAGTTTTTGTAGAAGATGAAAACAAATTTATTCCTTAGTCAACGCAGAGAAGACCGTTGCTTAGATGACGACTGGTGGGAAAATCACAACTGTTCTTGTGCTTGATGGTTAAAACATTTTTATTTTGCCAAGGAATAATTATTCAGAAATACATTTTTGCTCAAAACTGGTACAACACTAGGGGTGCTAAACACGCCTCACAATTTCTATGTACGAAGTTTATGTTTTAAACAATAGAGAAGGAAGGTGAAGTGAGAGATGTGATTTAAACAAGCAGCAGCAGGCGAGAAAAAGTAATGTGCACAAACTATGATCATATTTATAGCCAGAATGTCTTTATGTTAATAATGAGGAGTGATTGGACTAAAGATGTCATAGTGCAGAGAAATTGCAAGGAAAGTGATGTAACATGCGGCAAAGTGATACAAAATGGTGCAAATTTTAAAGTCAATCTTTGAAAGGGTGGTGTTTACTTAAAATTTATGAATTTAAAGGTCTGTTGCCATTTGGTTCCAATTAAGTTTAGTAATTTTATTTCATATTGCATATTTTACATATATGTATATATCAGAAGTGACATTCTTTTGCCTTTACCCATACTATATGATTCCATTAGACTTAGAACAATATAATGTGATGATATCATTTCCTAAATAGAAAGCATTTCACATATATTTTTAGCTCTCATCCCAGCAATCCAAGAATTGATGCCAAATTTATCAGGCTTGCTTGTTTTAAATATTTCTGCTTGTTTTCCACAATGTCATCAAAATGACAGCTGTAGACTAAATAAGTATACAAAACTTCTCTCCTTTCCATTATTGAATATAGGTTTGTAACAGTGTGTGTATGTAAGTTTAGGAAAAGTCATAAAACTTCAGCAGCCTGAATTGACAAATAAAGACATAGCACTCAAAACTTAAATCCAAAATCATCAAAATAACAGTAGTTATATTTCTGGTGTTAAAACTCGCCATGCTATAATCATTACTACCAACTGAAAATTTTCTCTGTAACATCTGCACCTAAGGATTAGTTTAATTATTTAATGTTTAAACATAAATATTATTATTGCCATTTTAATTCCTAAATTATAAGTTTAAGGTCAAAAATAGTTACATCAGATTTAGATATTTCTCTCACATGATCAATATTTAACTTGGAATTGTTTCTCAATTATATCATGATATATTGAAATGAGTGGTAGTATGATGCATAGTATTGAATAAGGAGCTAATGTTGCTTATTAGTGATACAGATTAGTAAGACAGATAGTATATTGTAATAAAGAGACAGCTAGATATACGAGTAAAGAAAAATTTATTTTGTCTGAAAATTGTTAACACAATTTATTGTTTAGTATAATCTAAATAAATTATTTCCTCCCAATTTTTATCAAACTGGGCTTGTGCATGACTTCATTATACAGAAGATCTAGCAGTATTTCTTGTAAGTTTAGTGAAACCAGTTAATTCAGTCAAATGCATAATAATTTTTTTTTTTTAATTAGTAAAAAAAAAATAGAGTAATTTTAGGAATATTAATGACTATTATGTTAGACATAAACAATGAAAGAAAACATTAATTTGTGTGAGGTTAAATATAAAATTCTGAAGATCATTATGCCTGATATGAGAGTGAATGTAATCATAATATTGAATTTTAATAACTGTTCTATGGATTTTAGGATTATTTATACATTGAATAATGCATTTAATTTATAATAATAATGCATTCAATTTTAAATGAAATGTAAAAGTAACTCAAATGTTAATAGCTTTTTTCTATTTTATGAAGTTCATGTTTTTTTAATAAAAATATGTGGCTAAGTTTATCATTGTTCACCATGCTATATATTCTTCTAAAGTTGTCAAATGACTAGAAAGTATAAAAACTTAATAGTAGGAGGAGAGTACTTTAATGATATATAAGAAGCACAGCAGAATGATAATTTCTCAATTTCATATTTATGCAACAAATATTGCTGTCATTAAAAATGAAAGTCTGCAGTAGAAATTTTGTAAAATACTTTAAATGAAAAACATAGGTTCCATTTGAATTATGTATTGGTGTATATAGTGAACTTTTGTGGTGGCAAACACTGAAAATGACCAGTATTTCTGAGAAAATGAATTAATATCAAATTCATCTCTACAGAAGTTTAAAAACATCTGTAATCATGTTCATTCTGGTATTTGTCTACTTGTTTATTGGATGGTGACAAAATGATAAATGAGAGTTCCTGTGTTCAAGTTACCATATTGATAAAGGAAAAAGTCAGTCTCTATCAAAATCTCATTAAACATTCAAATTCATTATGTATTTCAACAAGTTGCATGTAAAACTGCTGTCACAATTTTTAAACATGGAAAATTTTCATCCAGTAGTTTATGTGTTTTAGATTTCAATAAATTTTCTCTTTCTTATCCCCCTCCCCCAAATTTTCATCAGTTTGTTTGTGCAAAATCATCTCTATTTTTTGTGGAGGGGGGGACATAAAAATTCTGTGTAATCTTATTTTAAAAAATTTAGTTTTTTTTTTTTTTTTTTTTTTTTTTTTTTTTGTTTGTGGTGTGTGTGTGTGTGTGTGTGGTGTGTGTCACAATAAAATTGCTTTATTATTTATAAAAGTTTTTGCTTTTTTTTAAATTTAGATACATTTAAAACTGTCATTTAAATAAAAAAAATAAATTATTTAATTTTTTTTTTTTTTAAAAATAAGGTTTTTTTTTTATTATCAATCACAGTAAATAAAAAAAATAAGGTTTTTTAAATTTAAATACCACCTTTTATCATGGGTGGAATTTTCCGTTTTAACTATTTTTTCAAATATTACAAAGTTTTATTTTTTGATGCTATGTTTTACTATAAACTTATGTAAATATTTTTCACCTTATTAAATACAGATATTAGTTTTAACAAATGTTTAAATTTGATACATAAGCTTATTTATTTATTTAAAACTATTGGCTCAATAGTTATTTCACAACTGTTTTTAAAATAAAAAAAAAATTTAAATTTTTTATTGATATTTTTTATTTTGCCTAAAATAAAACGAGAAATTTAATTTATCAACAATCAAGAAATCTTGTGCTTTTATAGCTGTAATTGCAAAGATTTTTTAATGTTGAGATAAAATTAATATTTCTTTAAGTTCTTGGTCCATATAAATGTTTTGACCTTTCAGGAATGTACATAAAAATATGAATGTTTTTTTGAAAAAAAAAATAATATATAATATGAAATCAGAATTAATTTGGTTTAAATCACATTTGAAAGAAAAATAGTAAATTATGTTCTAGGTAGCTTTATTTAATGAATATTTTTCAAAGCATTATTTCAGGACATGAAATTAAGTTATTAACAAAATTTTTAATCTGGGACATGACAATAAGTTACTTGTAATTAACAATTTAATTTCTGAGCAACTGCAAGATATTAAATATCTTAATAGTATAATAAAACAAAATAAGTTATGCAGAAGCTGAATGTTAAACTATATTATTTAAAATTAATTTGTTAAAAAAAATTCAGCAGACTTAAAAAAAAATTGTTGCATTTCTGTTATCTAAATAACATGTAATGTATTTACTTTGTGTTCTATTGCAACGTCCTCAATATTAAATTCTTTTTTTTTTTAAATTTTAACAAATATTTTAGAAGTTAATTGTAAAAATTTATTAACATTGCCATTTAAAAACTGTTTATCAACTTGTTTTATTTTTCATCATTATTTGGTATTCACTTTTTCGTGTTTATTGTTTTATGTTATTACAAATACCCTCTTATTTAAATACTTTCAAAATTAAGGAGCAAAATTAAGCAATTTGTCATAATAGCAAATTAAAATTTCTTTATTGGAGTAACAGCTTTTCCATTTTTCGTGCATTTTGGGATAATGTTTTTCTGAGATTTAATCAGCCATCCAATTTTCCACTCTCATCATCTTTTTGTTACTGTGATGACTACATTCTTTAAACAATCTTACTCAAACTTATGTCTCAGAAAATTGTTTAATCATACCTGGTGACCCACTTCTGTCACAAGTTACCTAGGCTACTGTTGCTATGTTGGACCGTTGTTAGGTGTTGCTCTTGAATTTTGTAGCATGCATGTTCCTTAAGTGAATGACCCTTTTTGTTTAAGAATTCAGGATGTGTAAGCATTGCTTCATTTGATCAGGCTGAGCACGCTGAACATTTTAGATTAGATGAATTGGGTGGTGGTGGTTGATGCAGCAGTGCTTTTCATTTTCTTTCGGGAGTGGGGATAGGCAATGAAAGAGGAAAAGCCTGATGCCATGTGAGCAGTTTATATCTTATTATTAATTTTTATGTTCTTTAATTGAAAATATTTTATTTGATATATTTCAGATGTTAGCTGAAAGGGAAGATGTCTTTTATGACTTGGAAACAGTCAGTAAAAATATAGCAGCTTGGGTATCTGAAAAAAAGTAAGGAAAAATCTGCATCCAATAAAGATAAAATTCTGTAGGAAATTCTGATTCCTCTTTATGCAATTTTGCTACATGTGTTTTCAGATACTTTTTGCTGTCAAAGTTTTCCACACTTTTGTGGCCTACACTGATAAATTAATTAATCATTTATGTTTTATCATCTGTTTTATGAATCTTTTCTTTTCAGAGCTTTATCACTAACTTTTGTTGTAAAACAACAATGAGAACTCAATTAAATTTTATTACTCAATTTCGACTGTTCAAATTTGACTTCTGCATAAAAATAAGCCGTATGTATAAAAGTAATAGAAAGTGCAAGGTTATACTACTGTTTCAAAGTCAAAGAGACTCCTTCATCAGTTTAAAAATAAATAAATAAATAAAAATAAAAAGTTTTAAGATTATTTTAGGATAGTACCAGCTATTTTCCAGTATGATGGTTACAACCTAAAGACTTATTAATGCCACTCTTATTCCTGTTTATTAAAAGAATTTTTATTTAGTGCCTTAAGACTTAGGATATTAACCATTGTTTCTAAAATTATATTTGCTGTTCTTACTTTATTTCACACTGTTATTAATTTCTTATCTTCTTTCTTAAACCTTTATAAAATTCTTTTTTATAAAATATCTATCTCAGCAAATTATGAGGAAAATGCCTTGGGTTTCATATTTTCGTAGTGAATATACATCTAAAGTTTATTATCAGCTAAATGTGTTTATAATCAGCAATGATAACAGAACAATGACATATAGAAGTAGAAGATATTTAATAAACAACAAGTTTGACAATGCTATATATAATTTGATTAATAAAGTATTTCAGTGTTAGGCTACTTAAATCAATATAGTATTTTAGGAAATGATTATGTTCTGGAGTTTTTTAATTAAAAATGAATATTTTTTTATCAAAACAAGAAAAAAATCCTTATCAAGAATTTTCTTTTGTGTTCGTATATAACTATTTTGACCTACTTACAGTCTTATCTTTCTTAAAAATATTTTAAGTGACAGATATATGAGGGCCATTTCTCTAGTAACCCATCGAAATAATAGTTTTAAAGGAAGATAATAAGTTGAGGAAAGTTTCTGTTGAGTTTCTAGTTTTAAGAATGTATTTCTTGAGCAGTTGGTTGAAATGAAATAAGTATGGAATTCCATGAATTTATCCACATGAAAAGAAAAATATTTCATGAATCTATTAAAATGATACATGAAACCATTTCTTTGTTAGGCACAAATTTTGATGCATAAAATTCAATTCTTTAAGTTTTCATCAGCTGCAAATTCTACAATTCCATTAAGTTTTCTTGTGGGAACAAAATGCATTCAATGCTAAAACAAACCAGGAAAAAGGCTGTCAAATTTATAGATCAAAACCTGCATTCATCTGCTACACATTTGCACATAACTGGATTGCCATATAAATATATTTTTGGGATGCCATGGGTTGCTTATTTTGGCAACATTGTGTGTTATTTTATTGTGAATATTATTTAAGAGGTGCAGATAATCAGACAGAGCCAAAAAAAATTTGTACTTACTTAATATAAAGTCTGGGCAAAATTCAGAAATATTTTCTTAATGAGCGTAAATCAAAATAAAAGACTGGAAATGATGTTCCAGGTATTGTCTAATATCATGAAACTTTGTGAAATTAATTTGGAAAAAGGTTTCATCAAATTGGATTTTTAGATCAATTTATCATTTTTATATTTAAATTAATACTGTTGTTGAATTAAGGTTTTTACTTAAAATGTTTGAATAGGCAGTGACAGTGTTAGATTATTCATAAATATATCAGCTATATTTGTTTTTTAAATGGAGTAAATAAACTTTTTAAAGCATGGGAAATTCAAGTTTGTTTCCTTGTTGGCAACTTGTTACTCTCCATAATATTATGCTTTTCTTCCTAAAGTTGGACCTAAACCATATTTCCATTATTTCTAGTGTTAATCTAGTCTGGAAAACTAACATCACTGTAAAATCAAAGAGCTTATATGTAGGTGAAATAGGTTAGAAAATATGTATTTTAAAAATTTTGTTTGATGAAATTTTAACTTTTGAAGTTTATTTTAGCTTGATAAGAAACTCGTAAGCATGATTAGAATTGAATCATTAGTTAGAAATTCCTGCAGTGTTTGCATTATTTATCTGAGGTCTGACTATATATTTGTCAAAAAAGTATAGAATATTATCCAGTGTTTAAATGCTTTCAAAGAAAAATATTTTTTAAAGTAGAAATGCTAAAATAAGCTATTACTACTTTAAATTTTATTATAGCTCACAATATTAGGACTAACTTTTCATTATTTAATCAGTTAAGGGAAATGATGAGAGAGCTATCTGCCTAAGGAAAGGGATGCCTTTGTCGTGAACTTTCTTAGATAAAGTGGCTTATATTTGCAGAGTGACATTTTTAAATGAATCATTTTAATTTAATGTACTGAATTAAATAGTATTTTAAGATCACTTAAAATTTACTCTCTGCATTAATATCTTACATATTTGTAGTATATACTTAATTTTTAATAATTATAAGTAAATTTGGATTACTCTTAACTTACTCTTACGTAATTTAGTAAGTTTACATACGAAAAAGATATTTTACAAATGAATCTTATTATTTTTTATCTGTTTCACAGAATATTGTGCAGTATACTGAAAACAGTAACGTTTTCTAATGAAAAGTCTTTAATAATGCAAATTTTAATAAAGTGATAATACATCTGCACAATAAATGTGGGTGTGGAACTTATTTCTCTCATTCATGTACTTTAGTATATTTATCTCATTATTGAAATATAATGTTTGGGTACTGAATCAGATTTTGTTTTAGTTTTTAATTTACATTTTTACTCCTTAACTCTATACACAAAACTTAAATCTTTAAAATTTGCAACAGAAACTCTAAACATTTCTTCAAATATGTATCTTGTGTTTTATGGATTATGTTAAACTAGTATCTGACAGTTATAGGAATTGGTTATATTTATTTTAATGTTATTGAACCACTATATACAATAAAGTATTCATTTAATGTCATGCATTAATAATTTTCAATTTGTCAATTAATGTATTTGACATGACATGCTGATATTTTATCACTTATCTTTAAAATCATTGTTTTAAAATGACTTTTAAAAGGGAAAATAAGGATGGCCTGAGTACTTTAAACTCAAATGCTGAAAAGTTGTTTTCACATTGAATTAAAGCAAACTTAACTAGAAACAAATTGTTTTCATTCTTTCAACCTTTGTTGTTTTCACATTGAATTAAAGCAAACTTAACTAGAAACAAATTGTTTTCATTCTTTCAACCTTTGTTGAGGCATTAAAAGTGAAATGACTTTCAAATCTATGAATCTGAGGATATGTCAAACAGCTGTTACTATTACATTACTTTCTAATTTATTGTTGCTTTTAAAGGGCTGAAGTAGCTTTAACAAGAGGTGTGGAAGTTCTTCCTTCAATAAACAGTAATTCATCTTTGTCAAAATTGGAGAAAAACAAAACTACTGGTTAGTCATTCATTATTGAAATTCAGCTCTTATATGTATTGATATTTTTTAATCTTTATTATGTCCTTTAAGATAATTTTTATTTTTCCATAATATACCACTATTTTGCTTTTAAATTTTAATTTAATATTCTTTTCATACTTAGAAATAAGACAGAAAGTTTATGAAATTACATATACCATATATATCTGTGTATCAACCGAGAATTTTGGAAAGCTAAATGACGAAGAGTTGGTTTATATGCGGATCTGCTGGTCTTGCAGAAAACATCGGTACTTTTCGGTTAGTCAGACGCAAGTGACAAATCCTCAAATAATAGCAAATTTTACTTCGTATAAGGAAGTATTGTAATCGCGAAAAATTTTGGGTATCATATTTTTTATTTCTTTAGTTTATAGTACTTAAGTTTATAAAAAAAAATTTCATGAAATAAGTTAGTATGAAAATGAATTTTCGAAATTGTTTATATTGCTGGTTTGTTATATCGTCACCAAAATGAAACAGTTCAGATACCACAGATCATATACAAGACAACAAATAAATAGGGGGGGAGTCTTTTTAACATTTTTTGGACCCTTTTTTTTAACATTTTGTGTGTTACCTTTATTTATTAAATATCATGTTCTTCACACTTAAACCATAAAATTCAATTCAAGAGCAATGTCGCAAAATAATTTTAAAATGTTTATAAGGATTATGTTAATTTTATTAACAGTTAAATTTTGAGTTAAACTTCCTTTCCTATCGATTCTTACTTCAACTTACCACTTCCGGTTAGAACATAGTTTTAGAAGCACGTCTGAATGCTAATGAGGAAGAGCAGTATATAACCGTAAAGTTCTACTGTCTTAGCGAGAGAGATACCAGATATTCTGGCTGCACGCGTTCGCCTTTTTAGCTACTCTCTCGCAAGCTATTATTACGCTCGGCCGTACTTTAGGCCCTTGATAGCTTCGCAGTCAATTAGCGTTAAGGGACCAACTCTGTTAGAATCTTGATAGCTTCGGCTATATCTCTTTAGTTAAGATTAGTTCAATTTAATTCTAAGTTTCTTAAGTTCAAGCCAAAGTGTTGGCTTTATTGTACAACTCCAAGGCAGAGTCTTGTGAAACTTTAATTGGAATAATAAAGGGTTATTTTACCCTTTTACCTTGTTGTTTCCTGTCACACGAACTCAAGCGATTATTCTCTTATCAGTTCTTAAGATTCTTCACTTCCAACAGTAACTTAGAATTACCCAGTGGAGAAGCCTACATGTTAAATTATTTATTAAATATCATGTTCTTCGTACTTAAACCATAAAATTCAGTTCAAGAGCAATATCGCAAAATAATTTTAAAATAAGCATATCTTTAGAACTTCTGATACACAGTCTCGCGCGCTGGAGATAAAAAAGTGTTTTTTCTGTACAACGTTGTCATTGCTCACTTTGAAATCTTTGAGTTTGTTAATCAAAAATTCGTTAAAGTTTTACAAAATATGAAATAAATAATAAAATAAATCTCAAATTTGGGCTTTCAGATGCAAATATTCGCAGGAGGATTATGTTATTCAAATTTTGATGGCTCTATTTACCGTTGTTTTCTCACAATGCAAGAAACATGCATGCATTTATGCAGATTCTTCATTATTTAATTTCTCTAAATATAATGCAAGGCAACAATTTGAAAAGTGAATCAACGCTTATAGTGAATCAACACAAAATGCCAAAACGAAATTAATAGTCCTACTGGGGAAATTGCGCCTTTGACTAAAAAAAAAAAATTTTCTAACTTGGCGAAGAATTACCAGAGTTAAAACAAGACTTGTTAGTGTCTGGCGTTTTACTTTACAAAGATTTCGTTTTAAAATATGCTACCTGTTTTACCTGCTTGGCAATATATTCGAACTTTGCAGGAATTTTCTTTCTTCACCTGTTTTGAATTTCGGGTAAATTGCTGAAAGAAACACGTTCAGCTTGTATCCGGAAATATATGGTATATGTTTAACTGTTTTATGATACTAAATCTAAATTAGTTTAAGTGTGATGACTTTAAGACTGTGTTGATTGGATGTTAGGTGTTCAGATTTTATTTTGCTTTTGAAAATTTCTTACACTTTTGAGTATGAGAATAGATTTTACAGTTTTCTTTTAATGCTGTTTAAACTAGCTCGATATTGCATTCATATATATAATATTCATTGTACTTTAAATAATTAGATAAAACTTCTATACCTTAATGTGTAAGGTTCGTGAAGATAGATTATTTTTCGATTTAGTAGGTCACGAAAATGTTTCAGGGTGTAGAGTAATACTAGTGATGTCTAGATGATTATAATTCCTTGATTTTGAAGGTGCATTAACTTTTAAAACTAAGCCACATACTAATTCAGAAGTCAACCAAAAATCAGCGTTATTTACAAACTTACAGGACTAGTTTCGATGGTTTTAATTACCGAACATCATCTCAGCTGCAAAACCGCAAATGAAAAGACAGGAAATAATGTTTTAGATAGATAAGAAAGCCTGGACAAGCATAAGCATGGCGCCATCTGTGCGAAACCAGAACTAAACATAATTTCTCAAAAGCCGAAGGCAAATTTGGATTGGAATTAGGATCGTTAACTAGAAGAAAGATTTTTATGAATGTAATGCCTCTAGAAAATCCAGTTCTCCAATGGAAGATGTTTTTTGATAATTTTCGCAGGAAAGTGTGATTTTCCAACAATTGGCAACAGAAGACTTCTGTGTTTCCTTTTTCTATATGTCATGTTCTTTGATTTTAAGTCTCTTATTTGGCCATGTAAATAAACCGCACTGGCAAGGAATCCTATAAATACCCCCAGGAATTCATATCAGGAATGGGGTCCTTGAGTGGAAGTTGGAATTTTATTGATGGGAGAGTAAACAACCCGAAAGTTAAATTTTCTGCAAAATATGTGCAACTTTATAGCTAATTGATGGAAAGAAGGGAATGACAAACAGAATTTTATAATCTCCTAAAATAAGAGTGTGCTTTAGTGTGTTGAGATGAGAATTTTTTAAAACTGCTTGATTAATAATGTTGGGTGAAAAGCCCCTGTCAATAGCTATTGCTTTAAATAATTTAGTTCTTCATCAAGGGCTATTTGGAGGAGCAAACTTGAAGAGCACGGAAAACATAGGAATAAAATGAGCTAACTTTTGTTTAGTCGGATGACATGATTTAAAGTTTGTTGGAAGGCAACCGATAAGGTTACGGTAAACTGTAGTACTGAAGTTGGATGTGTTACGTGTGACCAGAATGTCGAGAAACGGAAGAAATTGCAAGTCTCATTTTCAAAAGTTGACTGATAGCAGGATCAATAAATCATCAATGAATTCTATTGATCCTGCTATTTTCACTTTTGAACTTGAGACTTGCATTCTCTTCCTTTCTCGACATTCTGGTCACACGTAACACATATTCAGTCTACAGTTTACCGTTAAACCTTCATCGGTTTGCCTTCATTTAAATCATGTATCCGACTAACAAAGTTAGCTTCATTTTATTCTATGTTTTTCCGTGCTCTTCAAGTTTGCTCCTCCAAACTGCCCTTGATGAAGAAACTAAATATTATTTAAAAGCAATAGCATTGACGGGGGCTTTTCACCCAACATTATTAATCAAGCAGTTAAAAAATTCTCATCTCAACCACTAAAAGCAACACTCTTATTTAGAGATTATAAAAATCTGTTTGTCATTCCCTTTCTTCATCAATTAGCTATAAAGTTCAATATTTTGCAAATTTTAACTTTCGGTTTTATCTCCCATCAATAAATTCCAACTTCTATACTCAAGGACCCCATTCCGGATATGAATTCCTGGTGTATTTAAGGATTCCTTGCCAGTGCGGTTTAATTTACATTGGCCAAACTAAGAGAGCCTTAAATTTTCGCGTCAAAGAACATGAGGCATTGTTAGAAAAAAGAAACACAGAAGTCTTCTGTTGCTCAAACATTGTTGGCCGAAAATCACACTTTCAATTTTTCTGCTGCCAAAATTATTCAAAAACATCTTCCATGGAGAACTGGATTTTTCTAGAGGCATTTCACATTCATAAAAATCTTCTGTTCTAGTTAACGATCCTAATTCCAATCCAAATTTGCCTTCGGCTTTTAGAGAATTATGTTTTATTCTGGTTTCGCAACAGATGGCGCCACTTGCTTATTCTTGTCCAGGCTTTCTTATCTTATCTAAACATTATTTCCTGTCTGTTCATTTGCGGTTTTGCAGCTGAAGATGATGGTTCGTAAAACCATCGAAACTTCCTGTGAAAGTTTTTGTAAATTAACGCTGATTTTTGTTGTTTGACTTCTGAATTAGTATTTCTTCGGTGTTATTTTTGTTCTTAATTAGCTAGTAAGCCTATGAAATCAATTACACTCCATTGTGCAAACATTAACCAGTACTGTTATGTAATCAGGGACCAGGTCCAGAAATGTATGTATGTATGTATGTATGTATGTATGGATGGATGGATGGATGGATGGATGAATGGATGTGTTCATGCATGCATGTATATATGTGCATGCATATGTATCTATGTATGTACACACATATATACGCACATACATGCATACTCTTCTGAATTCAGTCCCGATAAAGATGAGCACCCATTAACCCTGGAGCTTGGAACGCAAGCTTTTTTGAGAATTCTAGCAGTATGGCTTAATGTTTCTCAAAATGGTGAGTTAGTACTCCCATGGGGTTTGCATTTCAAACTGAATTGCTTCTGATTATATTTAGGTTTCTTTTTACATGTATATGTTTATGATTCCTTAAATCTTTTACTTAAGTTTTGCAGTCTGTTGCTGATCCTGCTTTCTGAAATCTGTTTAGTATGGGAACGATTTTTAACTACCTTCATTTGTGTTTTAAAAAATCATAATCATCACATTGACTGTTCTTCACTCTCCAAGATAATTCCTACTTCAGAAGATTACCATCATTTTCTGAAAATTCAAATTATAATTTGATGTAATGAGTGAAAAGTTATGA